TGAAACCCACCGAACAATAGTACATTATGTTAACAGATAATCTGTGTCTCATTAAAGTACAAAAGTATGTAAAGCATATAGGCCCTGGCATGGCCAGTGTGGCTCAGTGGTTGAGCGTGACCCATGAACCTGGAGGTCACGATTTGATTCACAGTTTGGTTCCAGGTCAGGGCACATGCCCAGGTCGCAGGCTCAGTCTCAGTAGGGGGCATGCAGGAGGCAGCCAATCCATGATTCTCTCTCATCATTGATGTTTCTATCTCTCTCTCTCCATCTCCCTTCCACTCTCTGAAATCAATAAAAACATATTTTAAAAATGAAGACATATAGGCCCTGGGCTCCGACCACCTAGTCTAGATCCAAGTCTACTCCCTACTCACCAAGAGACCCTGGGGACCACAGCTTCACCTCTTTGTGCCTCAGTTTCTTCTTCTGTAAAGTGGGAGTGGAAAAAGGAAGAGGAAAGAACATGGTGGAGAGCTTTAGCAGTATCCATAATGTTTTCTCTTTTTTAAAAAGATGGCAAAATTTTAACAGCTGTCTCGACAGTGAGAACATGAATGTTGATATTATTTTCAGTATGTTTGAAATGTGTTATAATTTAAAATTTAGAGATTAAAAGATCATAAAACAAAAACAAACACTTCTACATACCTTTTCTCCACATGCACCCTTGCCTTCCTCCAGACCACTTGCCACATGGTAACCAGAGTGACCTAAAATATAAACTAGGTGGGGTATCTTTTACCTAGCCTCCTCCAGGGGCTCATTGCTCTTGTCCCGCACTAGACTTGTCTCTCTCTGACTCCCACTCATCCCAGATCCATCTGGCTACTGTGTGCTCCACTCTCACTGTCATTCAGTCATTCCATCCCTTCAGGACATACAGTACACCTACTCTGGGCCAGCCATATAGGCAACAGGGTACCACGGTGACCAGGACAGAGAGAATTTCTGTTCTCAAAGAGCTGCCATTTTGGGGGGTGGGGGAGACAATAAACAAGGCCATAAACCCAGATAATTATAGATTGTGGGTAAGTACTGAAGAAATAAACAATGCAGTAGGGGAGGGAGCAGTGACAGGGAGGTTGTTAGAAGGTGTTCAGATCTCAGATTCAGGGCTCAGATCTTGGGTCAAATGCCTGTCCCCAGCAAAGCCCTTTCTGATTTCCCAGGTGGGGTGGTACCCGATTGCTGATATCCTAACAACCAATCAGTGCCTTTTCTAATACATCATAATTATAATTAAGTAAACATATATTTGGCTGCTTGGTGTCTGTTCCCCTCCCTAAATGTAAGCTCTTTGAGGCCCAGAAGCTTGCCCTGTTCATGAATCCTGTGCCTATGACAGTGGCTGTAGGCACTAAATCAATATTTGTTAAAGACAGAAACCAAGAGTCAGGCTAAATGATTACCAGTTTCCAAATTCTAAAAACCTATTCAGAGCAATTCTCGAGGACAAATGTTACCCAAATGATAAATTCTTATACTATAGATATGCTTAGAAATATGCTTTTTCACCACATAATGAGCCTTTTAATATTGAAAATGCTAATAAAAATGTCAGAATAACTCCGACGGTGATGGAACACTACAGTGTTTGAGAAACAACAATTATTTCAGTAATAGTGTCACCATTTAAAAAATAGCTAAAATTAGCCCAGCCAGCATGGTTCAGTGGTTGAATGTCAACCCATGAACCAGATCGCAATTTGACTCCCGGTCAGGGCACATGCCTGGGTTGCAGGCTCGATCCCCAGTAGGGGGTGTACAGGAGGCGGCAGATCAATGACACTCATCATTGATGTTTCTATCTCTCTCTCCCTTTCCCTTCCTCTCTGAAATCAATAAAACATATTTAAAAATAAATAAATAAAAAATAACTAAAATTAATGAAGAAATCCACTGGAAAACAAGTGAATTTTTAAAAAATCAATGTAAACAAAACAAACAGCATCAAACAGGTTCAACATTCTGGGCCAATGGATGGGTGGAAAACCAGTAGTCCTGGTTTTGAGATCCATCCAGATTTTCAACTCCATCCAGCAACGGGGGAAGTGGGCTATCATCTAATGGTTAAAGTCATGGTGTCATTTTAACCAAGATTTGTTGCCTGTCCCATGTGTTAGATTGAAAGGCTCTGGCTTTAGGTAAAGGATTTTGTTTTCAATTTTATCTCCTTCCCAGTCTTTCCTCTTGTGTATAACTAATTGCCCTCTTGTGAGAAAATAATCTGGAGGCTTAGCCTGGTGGTGAATTCAGTATCCTGGGATTTCACAGATTTGTTTGGTGGGAAGAGTAGGAATTCACTTTGGCTCATTTTTGCTCTTTCACAAGAGCCTGTGGTTTTCCCCAACACTCCCTGGCTGCTGTGTGGCCCTAGGGGCTGCTGTGTGGCCCTAGGGGCTGCTGTGTGGCCCTAGGGGAGGCTGGAGTTCTTAAGCTCTTAGTTCTGTCTGGGCCCAAGTCCAACAAGTCACAGAAGACTCAGTCTAGGGAAAAGAAGAATGTTCTGATAGTGCAGTTCTGCCCCAAAGGTCACCTCCTTCTCTGATCCTCCTGGCATTCCAAGCACATCATTGAAAGCAAAGTCCTGGGAGTGTCAACAGGCCTCTTGTAGAGAGGGGCTTTTGGAAAAGAACCATAAAGGGGAAAAGAATTGTGCACTGTTTTTTAGATTTATTGAAAATGTTTAGTTTCTAATCACAAACATCCAGTGTATGTGGTGGGAGGTGTGTGTCTGTCATAGCTGACTATAAGGAAAATATGAATATTATTACTACATGGGAACAGTCCCAAGGGAAAACCACAAGGAGACATTTCAAGAGAAGTTTATTATTTCAAGAAAAATTTATATATTCTCCTCCAGAGAATTAAAGGACCCGTGAACAGTGATTTTAAAAATATGCAAGATGGCTCCATCAGTTTAAAGAGGAACGGAAGAGAGACAGTCAACCTCAAGCATTTTTTCCAAACCATATAAAAGAAGAAAAACACCAAGTAAGTTCTGAACCTGGAAACTTTAATAATCACCACTATTAAAACAAACTGCTTCAGAATTTGAGTCATTTGAGGTTCCTGCTAAGTGGCAATAACTTGACAAGAATGAGGAAGCACATGTTCTCATCCCATCTCAAAGGATACAATTGTGAATTGTGCCTGCTGCTGATACCTTGCTGGCCTGGCTGCATCACTGGAAGGAGCAATCGGCAGACATCAGCTTCATGCCTACTATGGACGTACACGGGCAGAAACTAGGAATAGGGGAAACATACCATGTCCCCAAGGAACTGAACGCTCAGGTTGGAAAGATGAAGCACAGAATTTACAGATGAAAAATAAATATAATATGCTCTTCCCCAATAAATTTCCATAATGGACAGGGCTTTCCGGGGGTAATGAAAACTAAAATATAAGGATAAAAATAGAAAACCAACCCTGGCCAGTGTGACTCGGTTGGTTGGAGCATTGTCCAGTACACCAACGGGTTCGATTCCAGGTCAGGGCACATGCCGGGGCTTCCGGTTCAGTCCTGGTCTCGGCATGTAGAGGAGGTAACCAGTCGACCAGTTTCTCTATTGAATCTGTTTCTCCCTCTTTCTTTCTCCCTTCCTCCCTCTCTATAATCAATGAGGATAGTCTGGGGTGAGGATTAGAAAAACATAATAGCAAAATAGAAAAACGATCATCTATAATATAGATTCTGGGGCCCACATTTATTTGAATGACTAATCAATAACCTAGAAGACAAGGTCTTCTGCCTGTAACATATTGTGGATGAAAAAGGGGCGACATACTAAACCTGGCAAGTCATGGCAGGCCTTAAAAACATAAAAATTCCTAACTCAAGTGGGTCATGAGGAGCAGACATGCCTGAGGCCTGTAGCTTCCTTGATAAAGATCAATCTTTACCTTCAGTAAGGCTGTTTATCATCTTTTTGCATCTAAGATAACATACTTTTGAAATGTCAGAGTAATCATCTTTTCCAGACCCCTCAAGGCACAACTGCTGGTACCAGAGCATGAGACCACAGAACCCCTCATTGTTATTTCATTGCCCCAATACCACCTCTGTAAGCTGTAAATGTTAATTATTAACTATTCTGTACCCACCAATGTAAAAGAAGTATTTGTTTCTTTATTTTCCCCGTTCACTCAATCCCAGAAACTTCTCCGCTTTGCTTTCTCCCGTCCCCTTAATCTACCACCAAGGGATTTCAAGTAATAGTAAGTGATCATCATTATTCATATTTTTAATTATTCATCATCATTATAACATTTGAGCTATGGGAGGGAAGGTTAGTAAAATAGGTAGAAAACCGGCCTAAAAGAATGCTCAAATCACTTGTGAATATGAAGTACCTATTTCTCAGAAATGAAATCGAGACATCTTACAGAGGGACAGTTGCCTCCTCTGCAAAATGGGAGTAATCCCCATCCGGCAGCACTGTGAGAATTCCCGGTAATAAACGTCAAGTTCCAGGTCGAACACAGAAGCGCACCCAACGGGAGTTGGTGTTGCATCGGAACACTCTGAGCAATCGGGAAACTGGGCATCGCGGGTTCCAGGCGTCAGTTTCTGCCACCGAGCACCGCGGGACGTCAGTCCCTGTCCGCGTCCGCCGCCGGGTCCTGCGCTTGGACGTACTATCCACAGGCCCCTGCTCCTCCGCACCGAGCAGCCCGCGCGCGCCTTCCCCGCCAGGCCTGGCCGGGCGCGCGGCCCCACCTTGGCCGAGCTGTTCTTCCGGTCGCGCGGAGAGAGCTACCCAACAAGTCGCACGTGGACGAAAACCGCCGACCGTTCCTGCCCAGAGCGACCAGCTACGCGGTCGGGTCTCGCTTTCCTCTCTCTTCCAGGCCGGATGCCAGGTCTCCCACAGCAACCGCGGCCCTTTGCAACAGCTGACTAGCCAGGCCGTGGCTCTCTGCGCAGGCGCGAGAAAAAAGGCGTACCCAAGACTTCCGCTCGCGTCCAGCGTCCCTCGCGTTCCGGGGCGGGGCTTGCGTGATGGTGTCATGGGGCGGGGCCTCGGGCGCGGGAAGAGGCGGCGGGAGAATGGAGGTGGAAGAGAGCGGCTGTGGCGCAGCCGAGCGTGGGGCCCAGGACCCTGCCCCGGCCCCCAGCAAGTCCCCCGGCAGTGCCGGCCACTACGAGCTGCCGTGGTGAGGGCTCGGGCCATAAGTGATGGGTGCTCTGGGAACGTAGGTGGGCGAGAGGCGGGTCTTGTCCCGGGGGAACCCTGGGGCGGGAGAGCGTTCGGGAGGCTCCCGGGTGGCGACCGGGAGATTATTTGAAGAGGGCGAGGGACGTGGGTCACTGAGCCCACCTGGGGTCGAGAGTGGCCGGTCTGACCCCTGGAAGCAGAGTGTCCGTTAGAGCACTGCGTAGAGAGAGGGGAAGGGAAAGAGAAAAACATCGACGTGAGAGTGAGAGAGAAACATCGGTTGGTTGATTGGCTGCGACCGGGATGGACCGTCAACCTTTTACGCGCACATGACGATGCTCAACCAACTGAGCCACTCTGGCCAGGCCACCCCTCTTCTTGATGAGAGCAGATACCTGATAGTTTAGCTTACTGTAATGTCTATAGCTGCGTTGTGCAGTCCCGCAGTCACTTAGCCACGAGTCTTTTGAGCCCTGGAAATGAGGCTGGTCGGAATTGAGATGGGCTATAAGTGTACAATATACACCTGGATTTTGAGGATTTAGTATTAAGAAAAACTCATTAGTAATTTTTATATTGTTACATATTGAGAATGACACTTTTTAGTATATTAGGTTCAATAAATTATATTAGTAAAGTTAACTTCATCTGTTTTCTTTTACCTTTTTTAATGTGGCTACCAGAAAGTTTAAAATGACCTATGTGGCTGGCATTATATTTTACATGCACAACACTACATGTATAGGATATTTAAGTATACAAAACAAACTCTGCTGTCATGGAGCTTACATTTGATAGAGAAAGACAAAGTAAAAAAATAAAGAAGTAGATATATAGAATATTTGATGGTGACAAGTGCTGTGAAGTAAATAAATAGCTGTGGTGTTCAGGGAAGGCCTTTGATGAGACAACATTTGAGCAAAGACCTGAACTCGGGGAGTAAGACGTGATTATGTGGAGAAAACTTTCAGGTAGATGGAGCAACTATGAAGGCCCTGAAAGAGGAGCATCTTTGTGTTGTTCAAAGTCCAGCTCAAATTTCAGCTCCTAACATTCCCAGGTAGTGATTCTCTCCCTCTTCTGGGCTTCCACAGTCCTTGGCTTCTATAATAAGTTTAGCACTCTAGTGGGACTTGCTAAGCTCTATCTCCCTGCCATTGGGAAAGCCCTTCAGAGCAATAACTATGCCTTGCTTATCTCTGTATTATCTGCTTTCCTCCCCTTGAGATCTCTACCTCCTTTCAGAGTGCTTGGCATCTGGAAGGGGTTGAGTATGGAGAACAAATGAGTAGGAACAATCACGCTCCATCTGCTGGTCTTGGAGAAGAGCTGCCTCTATATCCTGTAGTATGTGACAAACAAGCTTCTTTAGCAGCTGCTTCTGGAGCACAATCAGTACTTGCATAATAAATAAGGGAGTGTTATAAAGAACAGAGGAAGTCCTGATGGTCAAATCATTGCAAATCTACTTCACTCCTCGTTGAAGAAAGTCATTTTCTCTCATAGCATAGCTTGCTTATTCATTTAAAAGAGAGAAATATTGCCCTCGTTGGTGTGGCACGGAGGTTAGAGCATTGGCCAACGCACCAAAGGGTCTGAAGTTTCGATTCCCAGTCAAGGGCATGTACCTGGGTTGCAGGTTAGATCCCTGGCCCTGGTTGGTGTATGCAGGAGGCAACCAATCCATGTGTCTTTCTCATCGATCTCCCTC